TCTCTCTCTCTCTCTCTCTCTCTCTCTCTCTCTCTCTCTCTCTCTCTTTTATTCGTGTCTGTTTTATACAGTTAAACCGACGCTACCCGATAATTACCAGGAGAAAACATGGGAGAAATTGCAAAAGGCTGTTGTCGCAATTCAAACATCGAAATCGATCGAATATTCGTTGGAAGAATTGTATCAGGCTGTGGAAAATATGTGTAGCCATAAAATGGACTCACAACTGTACACAAAATTGACTGCCTTGACCGAGTCGCACGTGAAGTTGAACATCAAAACCTTTTTCGCCGATACAAATGACAAATTGGTCTATCTGAAGAAAATGGATGAATGCTGGCAATCGCATTGTCAACAAATGATCATGATTCGAAGCATTTTCCTCTATTTAGATCGAACTTACGTGTTACAAAATCCAACAGTCCACTCAATATGGTGAGAACTAATCTCTTTTTCTCGCTTTTTATTTATGTTTCAACACTAATTGATCGTTCATTTTGTTTCGTTGCCATTTCTTACAGGGATATGGGATTAGATCTGTTCCGTAGTCATATTGCGATGAATAGCACCGTACAGAAACGAACCGTCGATGGTCTGTTGATGCTGATCGAAAAGGAGCGTAACAGTGATGCGGTCGATCGAACACTTCTTAAAAGCCTTTTGCGAATGCTGTCTGATTTACAAATTTATCAGGATGCATTCGAAAACAATTTCTTGATCGCCACAAAGAATTTATATCAAGCAGAAGGACAAAAGAAAATGCAAGAACTTGAAGTGCCCGACTATTTACAGCATGTCGATAAACGTTTGGCTGAAGAAAATGAACGATTGCTACATTATCTTGATCCAGTCACAAAGTATGTGATTAGACAAACATTTTTTTCTATCGCGATACAAACTATGTGTTTCGTGATGATGAATCTCTGTCATTTTTTCTCAAATTTTTGACTAAACGTACACATTTCTGTTGAATTTTAGGCATCAATTGATTTATACAGTGGAGAAACAGCTATTGTCCGAGCACTTAACCGGAATTTTGCACAAAGGCTTAGAAAATTTGCTGGAAGAGAATCGTCTCGCCGACTTATCGTTGCTGTACTCGTTATTTAGCCGGGTTAAAAACGGTTTAGTGGAACTCTGCATCAATTTTAATACATTTGTCAAGGTAATTACGATAGAAACAGACTAAATTTCCATTTTCGATTCTATACTCTCTTTGAAATGGAACTAATTGAGTCTCTAAATGGTTTTACAACAGAAAAAGGGTCGTACGATCGTCATCGATCCGGAGAAGGATAAGAGCATGGTTCAAGATTTACTCGATTTCAAAGATAAATTAGACAATATCGTGCGCAATTGTTTTGAACACAATGATAAATACGTGAATTCGTTGCGTGAAGCGTTCGAATTCTTCGTGAATCAGCGATCAAACAAACCGGCTGAATTAATAGGTAGGTGTATTGAAAGTCGAGATTTTTTTGACTTAATTGTTTTTAAATGATATTCCAATTCAAACCAATTGTGTTTTCCCATTTTGATTTCATGGTTTCTTCTCAATCCTCAGCTAAATATGTCGATATGAAATTGCGATCGGGAAATAAGGAGGCGACTGAAGAAGAATTGGAACAAATTTTGGATAAGATTATGGTATTGTTCCGATTTATTCACGGCAAAGATGTGTTCGAGGCGTTCTATAAGAAAGATTTAGCGAAGCGACTATTGGTGGGCAAATCGGCATCGGTGGATGCGGAAAAGAGCATGCTGTCAAAATTAAAACAGGAATGCGGCGGTGGATTCACATCAAAATTGGAGGGAATGTTCAAAGATATGGAACTGAGCAAAGATATTAACATAGCATTTAGGCAACATTGCGCCAATTTAGAGCGTGAATACACATCAATTGATTTAACTGTAAATATTCTAACGATGGGCTATTGGCCCAGCTACCCAGTGATGGAGGTCACGATGCCAACCCAATTACTAGAGCTCCAATCCGTTTTCAATAAATTCTACCTACAAAAGCATACAGGCCGTAAGCTACAGTGGCAACCAACGCTCGGCCACTGTGTACTGAAAGCCACATTCGATCAAGGGCCAAAAGATCTACAGGTTTCACTGTTCCAAGCGCTCGTTCTGTTGCTCTTCAACGACAATGATACACTCACATTCGAGGAAGTTAAGGCTGCATGTAACATTGAGGTAAGAAACAGAAAATGTTTCCATCTTCAATTCGATTGGAATGCAATTTTCGATTTTATCTCTTTTAGGACGGTGAATTACGGCGAACGCTTCAGTCATTGGCCTGTGGAAAGGCTCGTGTTATCACAAAAATCCCACGCGGTCGTGAAGTTGATGACAAAGACAAGTTCCTGTTTAACAACGAATTCACAAACAAATTATTCCGTATTAAAATCAATCAAATTCAAATGAAAGAAACCGTAAGTTTTGCTGATTGGGTTTGCGTTTGGTCTTTTCCTTTGGATTTTGATTTTTTCAATCATTCCTCTTCTCTCTGTCTTTCTTAATGATTTTATCATTTGATTGAATACCATCACTTGAATTGAACTTGAAAAATTCGATTGATTTTCTCCCTTTTTTCCAGACGGAAGAGCAAAAGGCGACCGAAGAGCGTGTCTATCAAGATCGTCAATATCAAATTGATGCAGCTATCGTTCGTATCATGAAAATGCGAAAGACATTGAGCCACAATCTTCTTATAAGCGAACTGTACAAACAATTGACGTTCCCAGTCAAAGTAAGTAATAACGATAAAAATGATTTCATTAATTCTATTAAATTCATCTCATCCATCTGTCTCAATGCCTTGATCAATTGCTTTGCAAATTATTCGCTAATCGAATTGTTTGTATTCCCTTCACAGCCGGCCGATCTGAAGAAGCGCATCGAATCGCTGATCGATCGCGACTACATGGAACGAGATAAGGATAATCAAAATCAATACAATTATGTTGCCTAAACATTCGATTATAAGCATCACTGACTATCTAACAATAGAATATTTACCGATGTTTACACACAAATACACAACAACAAATCGTTTTGATAATACAATACTAAAAAAATATTGATCCAAGTCAAAAAGGAAGGTTTACGAGTTCCATTTCAATTTCAAATTGCTAGCAAATAAAATTGAAGTTACCCAAAAGCCGTCTATTTTTCTCAACTCTCGTTCGTACTGCGATACGTCGATTCGAGCAAAAACAAAACAAAAAGACATTGAGTGTTTTTTTCCGTGTGACACATTTGACGTCATTATAAAAATAAGCGGTTTTTGGCATTTATTTTTGGAAGTTATTTTTTTTTCTCTAGAGACAAACGACATAAGAAGAACAAAGAAATTGGATGAAATTGGAATCATACAAAGCGACACCGAAATTTGGTTGCACGAACTCAGAATACAATAGGGACAGATAGCACTTAAATTGTCGTTCACAATATATCATATAATGATCGTTGAATTCGTGCTCAATAGAAGAAAAATCAGTGATTTTCCATCAGTAAACCAGTGTAAAATAAATAACTTTTTCTTTTAAAACAAAACAAAATATTTATTATTTAACGTAAAAGAAAACATGATTTATAAGGCAATATGAGGAAGTACATTGGGAGTACACACGTTGTTAAGCTAAGCAACCAATTTCTACCATGAACATTGCGCATCTTCTTATCTTTTTTTTCGAACATTTAACAAAACAGAAAAAACACACACACAAAAAAACAAACTATTCCTCATTGTACAATTTAAAACGAACATTAATAGTGAATTAAGTTGTCTCGGATGAGGAAACGATAGTTTTTAAGATGTAGCCAATAAAATGAATTTTAAGAAATTGGTCGTTTTTCTTTCGTATTTTTTTTGGAGATTTTAATGAAAAAATTCTAGATGAGATAGGCGAGAGTTATGAGAATTTCACCTACATGTGCCGAAATGAAACTATACTTATGTCCACTTCGGATCTGCTTAAGGGGTTGGGCGATATTTAACTGCATAGCTCAATGGTAGGTACTTGCTCAATGGTGCATACTTCCAAAAAAATTGAAGAAGAAATAACAGAAATTGTGACAACTCTGTCTCTCACACTACACGCGTGTGTGCAAGAAAGAATAAGAACAGAAAAAGAATCTTCAGAAGGAACATGAAAGACGCAGTCCAATTATGAAACAAAACCCATTTTGATGTAGTGCTTTGTTTATTGCAAATTTAAAAAAATCGAAACAGTTAAATAATCACAGAGCTTTAATCCTACTTCTATTATCTAGGAACAAGCATAAAATGTATATATTTTTTAAATATTTCTCAAATATTATATTGTCAGACATAAAATCGTTCCTTTAACAATGAATAAAAAATTCCTGTATATTTTGTTGGTTACTGTTTGAAAAAAAAAAACAACGGAGATTAGCTCATTTCAGAAGAAAATTCTTGCTAATTGTGCGGTGTTGTTGTTAATTTGAGGTAGATTTCGTGATTAACTAGGCTTTATTTGGTGCATCAACCTCCATCTTCGTT